TTTTTGAAACTTCCGCCACCGCCTTGTGCGGTACTACTGGTATAATATTATATATATATATATATCTCTCTCAACCATCAGAACTGTAGATATGTTCACTAATTAGATATCTACATGAAATAATCCTTTGATATGTGGGTTTGCTTGTCCCAAATTGGTGGATTTTGGTTCAATTGTTTAGCCATCAAACAATGGCGTTTAGTGAGGAGAAAAGCTGGTTGAAGGTTTTAACATCTCTTGAACAGCTGGGGAACGTGTGGCAAAATGCGATGCAGATATGGCGTGAAATATGGCTGGAACCCTTGAGTCAGTTTTGAATAGTTTTGACCTAGAGAGATCTCTTGCACCTGGGCAATTTATTCTGACCAATCTCACCCAGAATGAGGCTTGGTGGGGGGGAATTCTTCCAAGAATGGGTGAATGTTATGCTTTGTTCCAGTTCAGGAAGTGTTCTCATAGGCCCAGTTCGTCCAAGATCAATAATTAGAGGAATATGTCCTATCGCATTCAATTCTGGTTGGTGGTTTGGAACATTTGGTAAATTTTTCCATATATTGGGAATGTCATCATCCCAACTGACGAACTCATATTTTTCAGAGGGGTTCAAACCACCAACCAGATATTAAGATCATTGACCATCAATATCCATTTTCATGATATCCCCATGGTTAAACCATTAAAAACCCATTGACCCTCCAGTCTGGTAATAGGGATTTTGGAATCCCATTGTGTTGGGAACCCCATTGATGGTCGAAATGACCAGACCCCATATTAACACATATCAACCCATGTCACATGACCAGGGCAGATTGGAAAAGTACCTTATGGATATATGTTTTTCTCCGTGCAAACCACATGCAAAAAAACACATTCTAAAGATTTTCTAATAATAGTGGTTATAATACCAATAATAGTGGGAAGACCAATAATTCACCAAAATAGTAATTCTAATAAAATACCATTATAATAAATGATCACCAGTCATCCATCTATTTTTGAGGAAGACCCCAGGGAAGACCCCCGGGTCGGGTCCCCCGCTAATCCAACCAGGTCCCTTCGCCTAAACAGCCTATGGAAATTCATAGTACCAACGGGAATAAAACAGGATCTGGTTTAATGGAGGTACCCTCTGGTAAACTAACATAGCTATTGAAAATGGCCATTTATAGTGGATTTGCCCATTAAAAATGGTGATTTTCCATAGCTATGTTAAATTACCAGAGGGTACGTAAACGTACCATATGTTTGGCCATATGAATTGTTGGGATCTTCCCTGTTTTTTTTTCGGCGTTATTTTTCGGCCATAAAAAAAGAGGTAGGTACCTCGATGTTCAATCGGTTCCTGTTGGCCATTGATCATATTTCCAAGGGTGTTTATGGGTTGTACAAGGTGGTGCCCCCCCAGTGATGTTTGTTGGTTTATAAACCCCATGAATACTATAGATATATCTACCATAAACCATAGTTAAATTGGAGTTATAAACCAACTTAACTAACTATGGGGCACCACCTTGTAGGTGGTAACCCATCTGCCCGGGACGATCAAAAAAATATCCATTGGGATATGGAATGATATGGAGCATCACCACAGGATGGGCCCCCCAGTTATAAGATGTTATAAGTTGGTTTATAAATCATTACATCATTACAGTATAAGCTCCATGAACTAGTTCGTGAAATATCTACCATAAACCCAATCGAATTCAGCCACTTTTCTGTTCGGCAACTGAACGCTATCGAACGGGGGCCCCATCCTGCATGTTTAGAAAATGAATATCGGTATATCATCCATCAATGGAGCATTTTCTGTAGCCACCTTAAACTGTCGGGGTAACCAGGGTAAGCCATGTCATAGTTCAGTGGGCTATGGGCAGGTGGTGTCAACCCAGTTCGAGGCTGGAGGTATGATCCCAATTTCAGGCTCCAGCCCCTTATACATGGAAATAAATCATGTCCACAAGTGAGAGGGAAACTGATCATTCTATATCATTCTACCAGACTTTACCCAGTCTTCTTCCCCAAAGTACCAGAATTATTGGGAGCAGCCCTGAACTTTGCGATTCCAATCTGGTGGAACGACCGATTTCAAGGGTTTGGGGCTTCGGGACATCAGCTCTTTCATCAGCTCCACGGCTGAAACATCCACCTGCTGGTCGCAGACACACTGGCGACGGTCCTGTCAATGAACGACACAAGTCGTGAGGCCAATCCAAGCCAGACCACTGATTCGGACGCTCTTCTCAGCACCCCTGACTGTGCTTAGTCAGCTGTCGTCGACTGGCCCACAGAGGCATTCAACAAGGCATACGACAGCAAGCTGAACTATTGAAAGAAGTGAAAGAAGTGAAGGCAAATTGGAATTCATTAAGCAAAAATAATTTCTAATTTCATGCGTTCTATACTTTATATACATTATTTCATCCAAGTTCACTATGTTCACTGTTCCAGCTTGGTGGAGTTTTTTCTGCATTCCAGCAGGACGAGGGAGCCCCTTGGCAGATCCATCCAGCTATTGGGGCACCACCATGACCATGGAAACCATTGGAAACCCCCAGATCTATACTACAATCTTTGTTGCCTGGTGATATTTTTTTTTTGGTTTGTACCTGGCAGGAGCCGCAAAACGCTGTGAAGAAGACTTGGGAGACGCTCCAAGGCAGGCGGTGAGAAAAAAATTATGGGGATTTCGATCCAGAAAAACTTGGCATTTAACGAGGTCACCAGGAATTTTCATGATTTCCATCCGGATTCATTCATGGAAAAGTTGGGACGAAACATCTTGAACCAAGCAACTGGGCGAGTCAACCGAGACAACATTGGGATTTCACTGGGAAAAATGGGGAGTCCTAAGAACCATCCATGAAAATTTGCTATTGAAGGCTTGAAGGTCCCGATATCATTGGAGATGTATCTGTGATGTGTCCAGATAATCTGAGTAGCATGATTCAGTCGGATCCGTTTGATCAATGAATCCATTGCTCTGGGTTAGAGCTCTTGTCCTAGGGATTTGCTGTGATTTACATAGATATACATGCAACATGTGGTATTATATGGTATAATGGAGTTTATACCACTGGGACATTCCCCAAATTTGATATATGATATATATATATATATATATTTTCCGACTAACACTTTCCGAAAAAAAAATGATATTTTTGTTGGTAAAGGCGACGATTTCCCTGTGATTTTTCCCACCAACCCGATTGGACCCAGTTTTCAGCCATTTTAATATCACTAAGCTGGATGAATTATAGCGGTGTTACCACAACATGGCCAAAGATGATGATAAGTATAATGATTAGTAGGGGACACCATGCCAAAATCATCTGATTTTCAGTTTGTGGCTCAGATTCAGCCACAAGAAACAACACGTTTTGATGGTTAAACCACCATTTTGCACCATGTTTGATGCTTAAACCCAGGCACTTTGAGACACCCAAATTTGATCATTATACATATATATATAATATATATATATGTTGCGTGTATATGTATATATATATATATATCTATTTGTATATATATACACATATTTACATATGCATATATATATATACACACCATATTGATTCATATTGTTGCTTACATCCTCATTACATCTCATTCTACCCCTCTTGGTTGATGATCCTTTATAGGTTGGGGACTATCATGGATGATACCAACCGGTAGAATGGAACGACGTCGCGGGTTTCAATGCTGTATATATATATATATATACATATATGTTGATGGCAAATCCTCATTCTCCAGCTGATCCAAACCGTTTTGCTCAAGGCAGTCCGAAAAAGTTTCGCAACAAGCCGCGTGTGCGACGTGAATGGCGCACACTGAGCCAAAGCATGACTCTTGGACTGAGTAAACAGCAAGGTAAACCGTGGTTTAGTACAACTTATTATGTGGTTGTTTGCGATTTCTATGGGGATATATCAAGTATGATTGACTATTATCACTGTAAACATTTTTCACTATTATTAAATACACTATTGACTACTAAGCATCATAAACCATGATTAGCCATCATAAACCTTTATTGACCATTATAATTCACTATTAATATAATGCAAAACGATGCAGGGTATCTAAGATTGGCCATGATGATGAGTTGGTGTCCAAGTCAGAAGACAGGTAGATTGAACTGCAAAGAATGAGGATTTTCCGCATGAACCAGCATATGGGTTTGCCTGAAAACAGGGGCCCACAGGGTACCTCTAAATCCATTGGTTAATCATCATTTTCCGTATTAAACATTAAAAATATTAATCATCATTCTACGTATTAAAAGTATCATTTAGGGGGTATACATCATTTTCAGTCAGACCTATATGAGGATGCATGGATCAAGACCTATGATACCAAAATTTGGAGGGGATGAACATCCATTTATCATAATTTATCTGGATGATTTATGTTGCAACCTCGTCTACAGTCAGCGGGGGGTTAAACCAAGCAATCATTTGTTCTTGTACCCTCTGGTAAACTAACATAGCTATGGAAAAGCACCATCTTTAATAGGTAAATCAATTTTGTGCCATTTTCAATAGCTATGTTAAATTCCCAGAGGGCATTCGAAGAGATATTGGAGCCTCCTTGAAATGCCGAGCGGCCAAAGGAAGGAGAAGGTGGCAAAAGCCTTCTGGATTGTCAAGGAGCTGCTTGACTTAAAATGCTGGGCTTCACCGGAAACGCCGATTTTTTTTGTTGGTAAAGCCATGTACCCTCTGGCAATGAAACATGGCTAGCTGGAAATTCCCCCAATTTTCAATGGATTTAGGGAAAATCATCGAACCATGGCGGATTTTCCAACCATGTTTCACTACCAGAGGCTAAATCCACATTTTTTGCAGACTTAGATTCCCCTTGTGGTGTGATAAAATTCCCGTCTGATGCGTGAAGTCAACATGTTGATAGGTCAAAGTTGAAGGAACAGGGTAGACGGACAGAATCATGGTGTGGGTGTGGTCGGACGAGCCCTAGACAGCACCAACAGTTTGATCAGAGGGGCATTTATGAATTCTCACCCAGTGGATGATTTGTTTCGGCAAGAAACTATTCAAGATGGAAGATCAACTTTTGATGTGTATCCCACCCAAGATTTACTTTCTGTACACTTTCCACAAACACAAAACAACATCATGAAAACCGTCCCGTCAAGCTGGGACCCAAGGACCAAGACCCTGGAGGGTCGACGGAAGTATGGCGAAAACTTCAACAACCACGACGAAGCTTGGTTCAACAGCTGTAGATGGAGATGGATGGGGGGGTAGATCTACAGTGGGCAGATTATGACTAGGACTTAGATGACTTACTATAGTTCCTAGATATATATTGAATATCACTATGATAACGACTTGAGATGGGATGACAACTCATTTATCACTAAAATCCATTACGAATTCAGCCATAATCCGATGACATGAATCATGGCATGGAATGGGCTTTCTGTAGCGGTGCTCATGCCAAGCCGCAAAGACCAAAGAGGTCTGTTTTGCCAGCGCCACAGCGCGGAAGAGCTCCAATGGCTCAGGTTAGGTCAAGGCCTAAAAAGGGGCCCCCGAAGCCGGTAGCATCGGTGGCGAATGGAATGTTGACTGACCCAAGTGCCAATGTTGCAGTTTCCCCAGAAATCCGGGCTAGACCGTTTCAACATGACAGTATCGTGTGGAATCATCGATGATCCCATAAAAATGGATGCCAAATTCACCAAAAGATTTGCTGAGTTGATGATTTAGGTTTTTTCCCAATGAGAAATCCACTACTTGGGAATCTATAAGGAATACCTTCTGGCAATCAAACATGGCTTGCAGAAGAACTCACCATCTATAGATGATTTTCCCAGTTGTGAACCTCCATTTAGTTCGGGGATTTTCCATTGCCATCTTTGATTACTGGAATGTTTTTTTTTTGGTTGGGGGTTCCTTAAGCACATCCAAAATCATTTGTGCGAAGGACCAAGCTGGCACTATTGATAGACCATTTGGGACCCAAAACCGCTACCATATACCCAACCGTTCTTGAAATCTGTTCTGAAATGGTGTTTGTCAACTGCCGTAACATTAATCCCTTTCCCCTAATACTACCCCCCCAAATAACAAACACTTCAGCTAGTTTTTATTATTAGGGGGTATTTATTATTAGGGTGCGAAGCTTCCCCCTAATACTAAATTTAAAACCCTAATATAAAAAGAACTATTTTTCCTATTTCAAAATCGATTAGATTTCCTTTTAAAATCTAATTAAAATATTGCTAAAAATTGGATTTCGAAGCTTTTCCCTGATATTAAATTAAAAACCTTAATATAAAATACTTTTTTTCGACCTTAAAAGACGGAGCCTAATAAAAAACACCCCGGAGTTGACTAGTTTTTATTATTAGGGGGTGAAACCCTGAAATGGTAGCTTCATTTTAAAATTGTTTTCTAAAGGTGATCAATTGAAAATCAAATTGGCGAACTTCAAATTTTCCAAAATCGGAGACGGACCCTAGTTTTCATTTTTTCCTGGGGGGTTTAATAATAGGGGAAGGGATTGATAATATATAATCATATAATATAATATAATACAATATAATATAATATAATATAATATAAATATGATAAAATATAAAATAACATCACATAACATATTATATATATAATTATATATATCAATCCCAGTTTTGGTTAATTAAGTCCTGATGTTGCTGATTCAGTCTGGGTAATTAAACATCACCTTGATAGATATAGAGCCAACATCTCCCAGGTTAGACTTCCATTTTGTCCACAAAAGACCCATCTATCCCCACATTTTGGGTTCATAATTCCAAAGTTGTTTTGACATACATGGATCCATTCAACTATAGATCTACATAGATCTACCATAGATCTTCATGAATTCTTAATCCATTTTACATAGATCTTCATCCATTTAACAATAGATAGACACCATAAACCATAGTAAACCTATTCCTATTTCCCAACTGACCTACCTTGGGGGCCTTCCATCTAGGACATGCTGATTCTTCACTCCTGTGCTACCATGGATCCACGATGTGCCGCAGATGCCGAGGGATGTTTTTTTTTTGGCTGATAGGTCAAGCTACTGGTGAATGGTTGCTGAATAGGTGGGGGTCATTGGATTTTCATGGATGTTTATTTCAGCATGTAAAATGGAGGTTTATTTCAGGTCGTGCGTTTCATAGATTTTCTCTAGGATATGATATATTCATGTGTGGCACCTTTGGTTAGCCATGATGGATGTATAACCATCCTGAAGTACTCGTAGATAGAATATGTTGTTTTTTAAAAAAACATATTCCCAATTTAGTGTGTTTTTTCATTTTCCATATTCTATTTACTCCAGGATGACTATACGTATGTGTGTATATATATATATATTATATGTATACATACATATTCTTCTGACGTCATGGTCACCAACTATCAATGATTGATCTGGTGCTTCCGATATGTTCAAATATGTTTCTTCAAATGTATCAAGGATAAAGTTGGATATCCAAAATATTTGATTCTCAAATACCTTCCGGCAATCAAACCCGGGAGATGACATCTGGATCCCAACTCACATCAACGGACTCGGAAATTTTCTTGGGCCCAACCATGCCCAAGTTGCACAAAGTGAGGTGATGAGGGTCATTTCGGTCCCCAGTTCATGACATTTCACCGGGCCTTGCTTCTAAAGCATCTTGGCAACCTGGGAAAACATGGTGAAACATGTCGTGAAAGCCTGTGGTGGCCAAATGGTACTATGTGGTGGTGCCCCAGTTGGTTTGCTAAGTTGGTTTATAACATTTTATATTCTGGGGGTTTCCTAAAGTAGGCTTACCCCCAAATCATCCATGGTTTGAAATAGGATTTTCCATTCTAAACCGTCCAGCTATTGGGGTACTCCCATTTATGGACCCCAACTAGATTAACAAGGGGTTGTGATATATGCAGATATATCGATCGAGTACTGTAACTGGTTGGTGGTTTGGATCTTTTTTTGTTTTTCCATATATTGGGAATTTCATTATGCCAACTGACGAACTCATATTTTTCAGAGGGGTGGCTCAACCACCAGCTAACAAACATTTCACTGGGCACCACCGACATAAACCCGACTTTGTGCCCTAGGCACCTGGGCGCCATGTTGGCCCTCTGGGTGAATTTCTTGAGAGTGCTTTTGGCCTTCAAAAATTTGTATCTTTGGATCTATTGTCAATCTGTTTCAGGGTTATCTTGGAATATCCACCTCTAGGTTGGCAGTTTAACAACCTTTCAATGTTCATTCCTATCTGAGGGATATGTTTTTTTTCGGCTCAAGCACCACTTATTCCATTTCAGCATTTCTTGGGTGAAATTCGACACATCTGATGGTTAACCCTCTAAACGAACAGAGATGTGGAGTTTACCCATCATGTGTAGATCATTTTCCTACAGACACCATGGCTTTTCCATGGCTTTTCCATGGCTTTTCCACATCTCTGTGAGTTTACCCCATGGTAACTCCCTCATGCCGTGAGGTACGAGAGGAGTCTCTTGGCCGTCGATCCCACTATCGAAGCCATGTCACTCGGCGGGCGGCTTCACCGGCAAACCATCCTTTTTTGGGGGAAACAAGATGGTTTTTTCAGCATCCTGAAACGGGAAAATGATGGAAAATGCGTATTTTGGAAAAATCTTATGGGAAGAGATGGTCCAACTATACAGCCCCTTACCTTAGTATATTTAGTATCAGGTCGATTCATTTTAAGGCTCGGGAAATCATCCAATTTTCCAATTTATCTGACCTAAGGCCGTATTGGAACATGGCCTATGATGCCCAAGATGGAAAGTACAAGAACAACGCGGAGCGCCGAAGTGGCCGAAGTGGGGCTGGGCGGATGATGAGTTTTCGGAGACCTCGATGGAAATCAGCCAGATCAGATCGCTAGGGGCCCCGTTGGTTATGGATGGTTTATAAACCCCATGACTATAGTTATATCCCTAGTTAACATAAACCCTAGATGGTTATATACCCTTTAATAACTATATACCCTTAGTTGACATTAAGCCTGGTATTATACCCCATTAACTATGGTTATGCTTAACCGAGTGGTAAACAACTTCGCTATCACTATCATAAAGGGGGGGCCGGCCTTCTAGTGATCTTTCAGGTTTCGCAGCAGCTTGACGTTTTTTCGAATCAAGTCTAGAGTTAGGAATAAACTGAGTAAACTGGATGGATTGTAGATAGATTTTCAGCTTTCTTTAGGATTTGATGGGTTTACCATAAACTATTCTAAAGGTCAAGAATTGTTTAGAACATAGAAAGGGATCACCAAACCACCAAGAAACTCAACATATTTTAAAGCCAATCTGAGGTTCAAAGGTGAGCAGCGTTCATCATACTGGATGGTGAAGAATGGGATTCCCAATTCATGGATTGTGATAACCCCCGTTGGATATTGTAAAGCTGTAATAACCAGCTGTAATTCTACACTATCAACCAACAGAGGTTTAACAACCAGTTGTCAGTTGGGTCTATCTTTACTGGACCTATTTCCATCGCAAAATGTGAGAGCATTGAATTCCCAGTCATTGTTATGGGTCCAAACCCTGTTAGCATATGTACCCTAAGTTCCAGCTGGTTAATGGATGGTTATTCCATGTTATCCCCCTAGTTATAAATTGGTTTATAAACCCCATTAACTATAGATATATCACCTATAAACCATAGTTATTGGAGTTATGTTCACCAACTTAGCGTTCTCGAACGGGGGCACCACCTTGTATGGTAATATTTCATCAGTTTTGACCCTCCCCAAAGCTCCACAGAAATCATGGGATGTAGGGGGTGAAGGAGCAGTTTTTTTTGTTGGGACCATACGACCATACGATTTTTGGGCTGCAAAAAAGCCAGGGGGATGGAAGGGATGGAAGGGATGGAAGGGATGGAAGGGATGGAAGGGATGGAAGGGATGGAAGGGATGGAAGGGATGGAAGGGATGGAAGGGATGGAAGGGATGGAAGGGATGGAAGGGATGGGATGTGACGAGTTGTGATTCACTCACTTCCAGGAGAAGTACATCTTCACCAACAACTACTTCGGCAGCTACTATGGGTTGCTTGGGCAGCGGGTCAATACCCTCGACTGTGACCGGGTCAAGCTTGAGAGACGTGTTGGCTATTCCGGCGAAGGGAAAAAATGTGATTGTGATTGTTATGAATAATCAATATACCATGATTTATGTGAATTTTGATTGGGATTTGTGTTATTTATTGATATATTACTATAATTCAATATTTGCTGTATTATATACCATGCACATTCGCATGTACATACATATACATGTATATATTAGTATATGGATACAGGGACTTATTAGATAGATAATGCACTGTATATATATATATATAAGTTGAAAGAAGGTATGATACGGTCATATACGATTAACTTATATATTTTCCAATAGTATTTCAGTATAGTTGATTTACATATGCTACACTATCCATATACACATATATATATATATCATGTTGATGCCTGTGATGTTTGTGACAAAACACACATATACGGATATTATGCACACGTACACTTCAAAAACGTCAATTGTTTAAACATATTTTCCCAAATGATTCCTTCTTTAAGCAAGAACAAAACACTATGTTTTCCAGCTTTTATACACGTATGGGGATTCTTCCCATTTGGTTGGTCTTTCTCTTGAACCACCATAAAATCCATGAAAAATCAGATTAAACCATCATTGACCCATCATTGACCCATCATTCATCCTTGATTTTTATCCATCATTGTTGTTAACCATTATGAACCATTATTAACCAATGATATGCCATGATTAATCATTACTAACAGTGACTAATAGCTATTAACCACTAGTACTAACAATGGGGTGGACCTTTTCTTCCATGTCAAGATAAAACACTGCTCCGCAGGTGCCATGTTAAGAAAGTTTTTTTTTTGCGTTTCAGGTAAACCAATGAGATCATCCCATCATCTGCTGAGTTTCTGCAAGGACTGGCATCAATTACCAAGTCATTGATGGTTTGTTCGCGAATTGGCCCGTATTGGAGCGCCTTGGGCCGATGTTCAGCGGCTGGGAAAATGGTGGAAAAACATGGCGCAAATGGAGGAACACCTAGGGAAATGGAAGAAAAACTGGGGGAAATTCGGGAAAACCTTGGGAAAATGGAGGAAAACCTTGGGAAACCTTGAGAAAATGGAGGAACAACCATGAAAGACCTACATTTTGTGGATATAGAGTTTTCACGGATATCAGCAAAAATAAGGATACTATCGTAGCAAGTTGGGGAGAATTGAATTTCCGTCTCAATTGTGTGTATTGTGATGGATATGAATGGCAAAAAACAATGGATTTAAGGGAAATCCACCATGAAAAACGATGCTTTTCCCAGCCAGCCACGTTTGATAACCAGGGGGGAATGATGAGGATAATCATAGGATATCCCCGAGGATAGATCTTAAAACTATGACCGTGCAAAGGCCAACTCGCTGTGCGTTAAGCCGTTAAGCCGTCATCACTGCAACAATTTATTGCCGCAATGATGGAAATCGGTATTCCAAGAAGGCAGTGATGGAAATTTATATTCAATTCTGGATTGCAGCTATGGTTATGAACCACTTACGATTCGTGGGATGATCCTCCAAGCACTGCAACAGTTTTAAGCCTGTTTCTTTGTCCCCTGGTTTGGATCCTTATTAAACCCAAGTCCGACAATGCAACAGGCTGTAAGAACAGCCTCTAGTCAAGCATGGCTAGTTGGACACAGCTAAAAGGTGGTACCCCCAGTTAAAAGTTAGTTTATAAACCATAGTAACTAATAGATATTACCATTTTTACCAGAAAGTGACATTGGAGTTATGTTCACCAACCAGTTCGTAACTAAGTTCGTAACTAGTTCGATATATCTACCTTTTTGACCCGTTGGAGTTTTTGGAGTTGTCTGTGGCCACCGAACGCTTTTGATTCAGCTCACGGGGGGAGCACCACCTTTTTTTCGCATCCGTGGTTGGTAACGAGACGACTGAGATCCGGCCAGATGGTCTGGTGAAACACCATCAGATGGTTAAGAATGGGGGCAAAAAAACAAAATAATAGATAAGAAAAATGTGTAGATTTCTACATGTTCTATGATACAAATATAGATGATAACATAAATGTTCTATAATGTATAACAATGGTTAGATACAAAGAAATGTTCCAACCATCAAACATAGTGTAAACATACATGTTCTTGAACACCATCAATCATGGGGATTTAAACAACCAACATGGTGGTATAATGGGGCTATCATGAGATTTTTTATTGATGGGAAATAATCTGGATAAATTCTGAGGTGACCTAGTGGAACTTGCGACGTCAGTGGAATGGCGGTGAATGGATGAGTATGAATGGGATATCTAGATAACTATCCCAAGTAATTAGGCATGAACGGTTTTGACCCATTCAAGTAACTATCTAGACAATTTAGTGAATCATTGTGAGTTATCCCGATCCCAAAGAACAAACCTGCCAGATTCCTGTGGAAGAATCTGCCAGTCTGGATAGAAGTCTGATACCCCTGGAGAGGACTAGCAAGTTGGTCAAGGCTCTTTGCATGGGACATGGATATACAACCTTTTAATGAAGTTGATGAGATAGGAATGGTGGAGTATGACGTCATATTATCATTGTGTAGCAGTGTAGCAGTATATATTACATAATTCTATAATTGAATCATGCCATATCATAATTATACATAATTATGAACCATATTTAATTATGAACTACAATTCATACCATATTTTAATTATGCCATATCATCAGTATTAAATTAAAATCATTATATTATAATTATAACAATATTATCATATGATCATTATTATCATAATACAATATTTTTGCCATATTATAATTCACACCATCATTAATGTGGTTAAAACAACAATAAACCATCCCCCAAATCACCATTTTCATAGGTCGTTGGTATAAACCATTCCCAAATAGGTAGTTTATTATTGTTTCACACAGTCATTATACAATTTTGAATTAGATAATGATCATATTGTATTATCGTTATTAATATCACATTGAATTAGTATTCACACCATCACATTGATATCATATCATAATTCACACATAATATCATATTATAGTATCATGATTTTAAAATTAATATTCACTGGTTCATATCATCATTAACCATAATTAACACCATTATATTATAATATTTTGAACCCCAATTTTTCCTATCAGATTTCCAGTCGGAACCAACGCCAACCAAGTGGATGGAGAATGTGCGAATGTGCATGAAAAACACGAGCCAACTTGGTAATTTGATATCTAAAATATAACCATCAATATAATATCTATAATATATATACAATATCATCAATATAATATCTATAACCATCAATATAATATATATAACCAAATTAACATATCATATAACCATCAATATATAATATCTATATATATATATATAACTATGAACATAAAACTATGAATAAAATAACTATAATATAACCATCAATACATATATAATATATATAACTATGAAAAAATCTCAGTTTTTTGTAACGGGTGCATCAATAATTGGCTCACTGTCCATAGCTATTGCCTATACATGTTAGATTACCAGAGAGGAATTCCTATCGATATATATATATATATATACATATCCCCACTATCAAAAACCGGTGGTTTTCCATAGCTATGTGAGCTGTTTTTTGTAAGGTATCATGGCAATGATTTTGCCACAACCCTGCTGAGTTTGGTCCCGTTGCACAACATTTTTTTATCATTTTTATCATATGAAGATGACGGATGTGTTTACCACGTGACATCATTGCAACAGGTCTCCTCTCATGGTGGTTTCTCAGGTGGACAGCGGAACGTTTCGGGAACAAGAGCTACATGGCCCCGGACAACAAATGCAACTTGGAGGTAGCAAAAATGGGATGGGTACATCTCTAGAACTGGGTTCCGTTATTTTTTTTGCATTTTATCCTGATGAATACCACTATAAGTTACTATAAGACTAGTTTTGTGGCTCAACTTCACTGTTATGTTATCATCACATTTGAAGTTTAGATTCCATAACATATTCCAAATGTGACGTAATATATACATATTCTATTGTAATTTATTCCATTCTATATCCATGCAGTTGGTGGTTGTTACGTATATTACCATATTTCATTGCATATCCCCAAAGTTACAATATTGTAATTTCACATAGCCGTGGAAAATCACCATTTTCAACAACGGTAAATGATCGAACTAATGGTTCATTTTCCATAGCAAACCGTTTTTCATAACCAGAGGGTATACCACATATTCCATAAAAATTACAATAACATATTACAATATTGCATATGTTATTATTGGTTATCATAACTCCTATAGCACATTATACATCCCATATATCTCCATGGTAACAACTGCAGGTGCCCATGTTTCCTCCCCGTCACCTCAAAGGTATCCGCGAGGAGTATTTCAAGGCGCACGCTAGCGGCCTGAAAACCTTGGGGTTTACTACGTGTGGATGACTTTACACAAATGTAGATATCAATATGTGAAAATCGCCATCGAACTTGGATTTAATTGAGTAAAATTAGAATGAATTTTGAGTAGCTGTATCCTATTTTCAAACACACCTTTTTTTGGCCCAAAAATTCTCCGAATCAAAAAAACCAAACCGCCGATTTTTCATGACGATCCCCCGATGAGGTTTGATCACGATCGCCAACACCGATTAGGGACCATCTTTGGGAGGATGAACATCAAAGAAACCCTGTTATAATCTTACCCTCTGGTTATTTAACATAGCTATTAGGCTAGGGAACATAGATTCATAGATGATTTTAATGATTATTTCCCAACAGGTAACCAGAGGGTAGCCATATCCAATCATGATTGGGATCATCTATTTTAAGTTATCTATGTGATACATGATTGAAAGGGCTGAAAAACCAAGAAGCATAGGGCTTCAACGCTTCAACCACAATGGGGATATCTTCATCCATGTGAAGAGTGGGTCAATAGCCACCGAGCTTTCTTGGATGAACATCCAATAGCAGGGTACAAGGCTTTGACCAATACCAATATATACCCTCTGGTTATGTCAAAATAGCTATTGAAAATGACCATTTATAGTGGATTTAACAAATTGAAAATGGTGATGTTCAATAGTTATGTGACAGTTTACCAGAGGGTAAGATGGGTATGGGTCAAACAAAGCTAGATCCAGTTGACCAGATTTTTTTTTTGTCTTTGTTAAAGTATCAACCATCCATGGGTACTGTACCTCAATTTTGACCCACAGCCCTATATCCAACATGGGGCCAAGTGCCAAAGTGCTGGCTTTTGGAAGCTGCACAATCCTTACTGAGTTTTTGGAAGTGCCTCTTTGCCCAGACCATTTACCATAGGTTTACCATAGATTTACCATAGATTTACCATAGATTATCATAGTTTACCATATATTGGGAATTTCATCATCCCATTTGACGAACTCAGATTTTTCAGAGGGGTGGCGAAAAACCACCAACCCGATATTCATGAACCCCAGGATTTGCCAATGAATAATAACATGACCATAATGCCCGGAATACGTTTCCCAAAAGATTGATTTCTGGGAAAGAAGACACACATTTTGTGGGTCTCATAAATGGGAATCCCGGAATATTGGAGTACTACTGTGGATGGAGGAAATCCTGCACCACCAAACGGATGCTTGAAACCCTGTAAATCATGAGATAAACCACCTATCAACCGGTGCAGGATTTCGCAACCATCCGCAGTAGTTCGCAACCATGTCCCATTTTGATCCATGGCTTGGGGATTCAAGTTTCACATCACAAAAACAAGTATCTGTTGGTAAATGTCCCATTTTGATCCATGGCTTGGGGATTCAAGTTTCACATCACAAAAACAAGTATCTGTTGGTAAATGTCCCATTTTGATCCATGGCTTGGGGATTCAAGTTTCACATCACAAAAACAAGTATCTGTTGGTAAATGTCCCATTTTGATCCATGGCTTGGGGATTCAAGTTTCACATCACAAAAACAAGTATCTGTTGGTAAATGTCCCATTTTGATCCATGGCTTGGGGATTCAAGTTTCACATCACAAAAACAAGTATCTGTTGGTAAATGTCCCATTTTGATCCATGGCTTGGGGATTCAAGTTTCACATCACAAAAACAAGTATCTGTTGGTAAATGTCCCATTTTGATCCATGGCTTGGGGATTCAAGTTTCACATCACAAAAACAAGTATCTGTTGGTAAATGTCCCATTTTGATCCATGGCTTGGGGATTCAAGTTTCACATCACAAAAACAAGTATCTGTTGGTAAATGTCCCATTTTGATCCATGGCTTGGGGATTCAAGTTTCACATCACAAAAACAAGTATCTGTTGGTAAATGTCCCATTTTGATCCATGGCTTGGGGATTCAAGTTTCACATCACAAAAACAAGTATCTGTTGGTAAATGTCCCATTTTGATCCATGGCTTGGGGATTCAAGTTTCACATCACGAAAACAAGTATCTGTTGGTAAATGTCCCATTTTGATCCATGGCTTGGGGATTCAAGTTTCACATCACAAAAACAAGTATCTGTTGGAGATGAAGACTTATATCCCCTATTTTTTTGGGTGATGTGATTGCCAGCCATTGGGACATTTACCAAGCCCTGAAAGTTTCATCGCCATGGCTGTCGTGATCCCAGGGCACTGTACCTTCCGTCTGTGACCAGTGCTGTCAACTGCCAAAAGCGCTGTGCGATTGCGAGAATTTACCAGGCGAGGAAAACGGGGCACATGGGGCACGGGTCTGGAAATAGGATACCCAAATAACTGCCATCGTCAACATCAACTAGATGTTTTTGTTGGAAGATCTAATTGCTTTGTACAGTGGACATGTTGGATGACTTGCTCTCCATGCTGGAGAGCAACATCTTTGTGGGGCGTCCCAGGGATTTTAAGTGGGTAGTATAACCATACGAAAGAGCCCAGATATTAACATGGAATACCCCACCAGTTGGATTAACGCGAAAAACATGGGTTATAAACCACTTAGGACTGCTGCCGCACATCCCATTTTTCGACAATTGCCATTTGACTCTGCCAGTCATGTGAGTTGGATATTCCGAAGTTAGATAGTAAACAGATAAGAAAAAAACATCGTAAAATATAGGTTTTCAATGTTTTTTCAAGAACAATTCCACCACTCCCAACATATGGTTTCAATTTCAATTTATCTCTAAAACAAAAACAACCCTATAGGTCAGTCAAGGCTATTCGGAGCAAAATAGTTAATTTTGATTTTGGAGGCAATTTTCTAACTACTAGTTCATTCTTAAGGCTAAATTTCTAGGTTATTTATTAAAACTTTATAGTGATTTTTCAAGGGTAAATTTCAAGGTTATTTTTAAGGGTAAAAACATACCTTTAAAAATAACCTTGACATTTTTTTGCTTTTTTCAAGGTTGTTGCCAAGAAAGCTCCTGGTGTTGCTTCTAAGCCGAAGGCAGCAAAAGCGAAAGCCAAAGGGCCAAAGCCAAGGCTAAGACTCGCAGATGTCAGAGGGGTGGAAAAGATTAAGGCTGAGCCAGAGGAGGACCATGCAGAAGGAGAAGAGGAGGAGCCATGTTGGAAGATGATGCAATAGATGAGAATGTTGGAACATGTTTCACTGCCAATGATGATGAAAATTCTTGCCATAATCTTGTTTCATTACTTTTCCGACTCTTCCTCATGTGGTTGGTGGTTTCAAACATTATTTATTTTCCATGAAATATGGGATAATCATCCCAACTGACGAACTCATATTTTTCAGAGGGGTAGGTATACCACCAACCAGTCATTGGTGCCATGCTGTTGTGTCATAAATTATGTGGCCCAGGCACTACCATCAGATCATTCCAATCCAAGCGTCCGAGAGAACGATATGTTATGTGGTCAGAATAAGTGAAGTGAACCCATGCATATGTCAGCAGCACATATATATAATTATATATATATATACATAGTAACCCCAAGAGAACGTCAGACACATATCAGAAAACAAAGAACAACAAACCTAAATATATGTAAAAAAAAACAAATAATATGGAAAAACACAATATTGGACATTACCATCACTATAACCCCAAAAAAATAACTTCAAAGTTTTTTAACCTACATAGTTAATTTAACAACACCCAAATTACCTTCTCTAAGGTTAAAAAATAAGAGTTAACTATTTTGCTCCAAATAGCCTTGACTGACCTATAGGGAACAAAAAACGTGGGTGCCCCCAGTTCTAAGTTGGGTTGTATTACCCCCAATAAGTATATATATATATAGAATTATATAGATATTACTGGAGTGATGTTTCATGATGTTTTCCAACTTAGGCAGGCACCCAGGCACCGCCTTGATCGATATGAAACCAATAAAAAAAAACATTTGTGAAACCTTGTCCATTAACAACCATGACATCCCTAGATTTCGGACGTAAATCCCACATTTTGACATTCAATGAGGACGGGATTTTTCACCTGCACCAGTCCCAGTGGTTGGCCTCGGTCGCTAGGCGGTGCCACACCGACCTACACCCGCCGCGTGCGCGCGCACGACGACTGCTCGCCTCATGTTGCGCGATGGCCCGAAGACCCTGACGCCGCAGGGCCCTTGGGCGGGACCTACGAGATCGTCTACAATGAGGCCAGAGATGGTGGGGAAAAAGGGGTGAAGCAGCATTTCTTGTTGGGATTTAAACAATTTTAAACACATAGATTTTCTGAACATTCTTGATGTAAACGTCTTTTTCAGTTTGCTGAAAAATCAACCAAAACCCATGAACTGGGGCTCCCCATTAGCCCTAAACCATCACAAAAGATCTCCAAGCCACCAGGGGCGTTTCACCATAGACCCAGTTGGAGGTCAAAAAGTGGTCATCCGTGAAAGATATCGTAGTATACTTGGCATACCATGTATTAATCCATGTATGGTATATGTTATATATTGAGTATAATGGTATACCTAGTTTGTATACTTAGTATATATGTATATATATATATATTATACACACCATATATATATATATATGTGTCATGATAGTTAGTATAGTTAGTATATCACAGAAACCTTGTGCCCACCAGCTGACAATGTGAGATCATGTGAGCTATTTAGAACTCCCTGGTTGATACAGTAGATCTAGGGTGGGTTATAGGAAGTTATACTATCTGGGTTATTGGGGCTTAGAACATGTTATAACCCATACAAGGTGGTGCCCCCAAGATAGCTAAGTTGGTTTATAACTCCAATTTCACTATGGTTTATAGGTGATATATCTATAGTATTCATGGGCTTATAAACCAACTTATAACTGGGGGGCACCACCTTGTAGGATTGGGAAAACTATCAACCAACTAGCACAATGAGACGCGGCCGATAGGGGTATGTTTATCCACTTTTTGGATTCGACAAGAGGAATGATTTTTCTGGTGGATAGCTTCAATAGAGTAAACCCAAGTAGTTTTTAGCCATGTAGAAAGAAAGATATTGCTCTCATTATATTTAACGCATTATTGGGGGAATACCCAATAATGATATCATATCCGATAAGCCACACTATTGTTGGATGGCAACCATATTTTTTTGTGGATGGCACCCCTGATAAAACGGAGATTAAAATCGCGGTGATTAAACTTGGAGCATTGCATCCGAAAGTTGGGTCATGGGATGATAGCCTCTGGTGATAGAAATAGTGGATTTTTCAGAAATGGTTTTGCTGATCATTATCCCTACTTTTTATGGCTATTTCATGGGGGGTATACCCCATTTTCAGACATACCCAAATGGCCCAGTTGAAATAGTGGATTTTTCACAAATTGAACATGGTGGATCTTTCCAGTTCGTTTTATGTGACGGTTTAGCGGAGAGGGTAGTTTTCACCCAACTATTGATGAACGTTGGGTACTCAACTATTTGACTGAAGCAGATTGATTCAATTGATTGTTTAGCCCGCCAAGAATGGAGCTAAAACAGACATCTTCTTTCACTATTCAACCCACGCAAACTGGGATTCTTACCATTTGGTTATGACCAACAGTTCGCCATGGAAAGATCCACGATGTTTTTTTTTCGGTAAACCATCGAACTTTCGATTAGGGCCATGGCTATTTCCCATGGCTAGCCCTGGTAGTTAGTCATAACCAGATGGGTGTCCCGCACAGACCTGGGATTCTGGGATTCTGGGAAACTGGAAGCCATAAATTTCACTGCTATTCCCATGACTATCGTGCCATCCCATATCCCATATAGAAACCATATAGAAAACCATATTCATAAGGATAATCAGGGTTATTCGGATCATCATGGGTTAAGTTTTGGATAGTCCTGGGATAATTCAACCATTTCCACATATCTGGGTGAATTATAATATTTCACGTTCACCTGAATTGTTCGGCCATTTGGGGATGATTTCCCACAATCTAACCATCATTTCCAGGGCTCGGGAGAACAGGGTTCGGTCGTTATATCCACATTAGCGATACCCAGATATCACATATTATTCATAGTTCATCACATATATATACGTATATATAAATGCAGCAATTTCCTGCAAGCGATACCCCCCAAGTTTACCATATATCATTATTGTACAAACGTGTGGTAAGCGATGGGACCTTCCCAAATTTGTGGATGTCCTTTCCGTGAACCTAGGGTTTTCACAATCGCTCATATACATATATAATCATATATACAGATATTATGTATATTCATATTATCTTATATTATCCCCATCATGCAAATCCAAGATACAAGGTGGTGCCCCCCCAGTTATAAGTTGGTTTATAAACCCCATGAATACTAGTTCGATATATCTACCATAAACCATAGTGAAATTGGAGTTATAAACCAACTTAGCTAACTATGGGGCACCACCTTGTAGGGGTATGTTTATCCATATTATCTTATCTGGTTGGTGGTTTGGAACATTTTTCATTTTTCCATATATTGGGAATAGTAAGCCCAACTGACTAATATTTTTCAGAGGGGTAGGTATACCACCAACCAGTTATATTATCCCCATCATGCAAATCCAAGATATTGTTGTTGCCTAACTTTTCGCTTCACCCCTTGTGCTTCGTTTCGTGATTTTCCTGGGAAACTCTAGGACGACTTCGATATCTGCACCGACGTATCAAAGGTTGGAAAAGGGCCGGGCCCCGCGATGAAAAAGGGGAAAAGGGGATGGTTTGTACCATGAAACATGGGAAAATGTGAGTTTCTTAGCATGAAAAATGGGATTTTTTGTGGTTTCTTACCATGAAAAATAGGACAAATGGTGGTTTCTTACTATGAAAAATAGGCAGGATAGATCTTGGAAGCCAACAAAGTGATGGGGATATTTCAGCCAACTTAAAGCGGGTATTTCACCAACAGATAGTGGATATTGAAAGTCGAAAGTCAATTGGGGATACCAACCGGATGGATTTTTTCATCCTTGGGCTATGGAGACATGTACTGCACTAGCCAGCTAAAAGCATGTAGGAGATCCAAGATCGGCCATGTGTAGTTCCGGCACCAAACACTTAGTGCTCGGAATAGGTTGGATGTGTAGACACATTTTTCGAATCCAAGCTGACCGAAAGTATCCGAAAGTATGAGAGTCGTGAGTCCAGCTAGAATTTTTCATTAAGTTGGTCACTTTCGCTTTCGTCATTGACAGAAATAGTACACGTGTGGATTTCTGTTATTTTTTTCAAATGGTACCAGTCCCACAATGTCCCGCAGGTGCAATCTTGGATGGAGTGGCAAGACTGCATCGACGCTCAGTTGAAACGTCCGCACGACTGAAACGACCGTCAGATGTTTTTGTTGGTTCTAGGACTAAAGACTTGAACGAGCTACAAAAGTAGTATCTTGGTTCGTTGTATTGGTTGTTACCTCACAATAAGAACTTTAAATTACAGGGACGTCCATCCATCGACATCCCAAAAATTGGCGAATCCATTGGAGCTGAGTTTGCAACGGGTGGGCATCTAAATGGGAATCTACGAATCTACGAATGCTGATTTTTCCAGCCATGTTTGATTACAGTACCAGATAGTGCCTTTTTGTAAAAAAGCTATACTATTGATAGTGTTGTTAATATCAACATCATCACTATTGTTTTTTGGGGGGATGTGACAGTATCAATCTTTTCACTATCATTATCTGGTTCGTGGTGACTGGAACATGCTTTATGAATTTCCATTCAGTTGGGATTTTCCATCCATCCCAACTGACGAACTCACTCCATCATTTTTCAGAGGGGTAGGTATACCAACCACCAACCAGTTGTTATTATCCCTCATTTATAGATGATTTTCCCAGCTAGAACCCTCTTGGGATGATGATTGCAAATGACTGATTCATATGATTTCTTGGGGATGGCTTAACGGCTCAACCACCCACCACTTAATTTGCTTATATCCCCATTTATCTTGGTTAGACCGCACGTTTTGCTTGTAAACCCATTGTAGATTCAATAAAAAAACAATAAAGCAACTTCCCCTCATCCTAGACTTGCTTGAAGGGAAAATCGAAACTGAAACCCCTCATCATTTGTTTCGGCAAAAAAACACACGGGTTTTTGGATGTAAAACACTTGATCTCAAACCTCCAGTATATATGTGGAAAACCGTAGAAAACAGATTTTTTTGGTCACCCCCAAAAGATGCCGAAGATGATTTCCAAGATGAGTTCGATTTGAACTGTTTTCCCAAGTTTTTTTTTTCAGATCTCAAACTTTTCTGCATGTTTTTTGGCTGCGAAAACATATGAACAAATGATATCCGACCATATCCGACCAACAACCCAGTTTTTCGCTCTTAGGAGATGAGTACCTTCATGTGCAGCCAACGCTTTGGTTACATTAGTGGTCGGCCGGGTTTCCAGAAGATTTTCGTTCAGGACATTTTGCCGGAAGCTTGGTGCGGAACGTGGTAATGGTGGATGCTCTAGACAGGTTTGAGTACCGGGTACCCTCTGGTTATGTCAAAATAGCTATTGAAAATGACCATAGAAATAGTGGATTTTCCCATTAAAAATGGTGATTTTCAATAGCTAATTATGTTAAATTACCAGAGGGTACATAGGTTTACATTTTGAATATGATATAAATGGTATCGGTATACTTTGTTTAAGAGTTTGTCTTTTCCTTGTGGTTGAAGCGTTCCAAGTTGGGACGCAGTTGAACAAGAACGTTATTAGGTGGCTTGTGAAACATGGGCAACTCCTATGAAACGTGCAATACTCCTATGAAACGTGCATAACTTCTATGAAACGTGCATAACTTCTATGAAAAGTGCATAGCTTCTATGAAACGTGCACCTCTATAAAACACTGCAAAGAACTCTTCTGTATTCCTAAAGCCTCATCGTTCTAAAACACTGTAATGAACTCTTGAATGGAGTATACCCAAATATGTATGTATATATAGTATATAACATATTATATACCATATACAGTATAATATTTCATATCATATACGCTTGAGTTATTAACAATATATATATATATGTGTGTGACAGGGACCTCTGCCCCTGGCGGATAGGCGTAAGTTACCCAGTTTTAAGCCTAGGAGATGAAGAAGCGAGTGCTGGCCAGCCGAGATCCCTACTTTGACAAAGCACTTCGCGCCCTGTCGCCCGGCATTCGCCACGACCCGGTTGAGTCGTGATTTCATTCACCAATTTTAGCGTTTTTCCTTGTTTTTCCCCACTTGTCAGGTGAGGTTTGTTAGATTTTATGTCAGCTGGTCCTCCGCCTCCTCCAAGATTTTTTTTTTGGCGATGTTTTTGGTGGGGTCAAAACCGTTTTTAATGTGGTTAAACGAAATTGCATACACCAGCCATTTTCCTGGGAATGGTTTCTACATACCACCTATCAAAATGGTGATTTTCCTGGGGGATGGTTTACCCTCTGGTAAACGTTTACAGTTTGCGAACTTGAAGCCATGGCCCTGTCGAGTCATAGTGGATTTAATGATTTACCCAGCTACATAGCATGGTGGATCTTTCCAGTTCGTTTTTTGTAGGTTTACCAGGCCGGATATACCATCATATATCCCATTAAATCCCATTAAATCCCATTAAATCCCATTAAATCCCATTAAATACCATTAAATACCATTAAGTCCCATTAAATCCCATTAAATCACCATTGAATCACCATTAAATCACCATTAAATTGCCATGTTTGATTGCCAGAGGGTAAGCAGTAGTTTTTTTTTGGACGTGATTTCCACCAGCGTTTGGAACATGAGATTTTAAACAGAAAACTGGATTACATGACCGATCACAAATGATCTCATTCCTATTGCTAACTGGGGCTATGATGTTTTTTTATTTGGGACTTATAACGGCCCCCACAACGGCCACCGGCCGGATTTCTGTTTGGACCCAACAACGTGGTTCCCTTGGACGCCGGCGCCAGGGTGGCCCTGATATCACATGGAGTAGTTGAAGTATGGAAGGAATCGACTTTTTTTGTTGGTTCTTTAGAAAATTCGAAAAAGAAAATCCCGTGATTTTTCTCTTGTCCAGGTAGTGGCTTCGACCCCCAATATCTGAAAATGAGGCAAACATCGGCACATGATTTTTGGTCAGGTCTGACCAGAACCTTTGATTTTTCCTCGTCGTATGTTGCCGATTTTATTCCCATGACAAAATCCCATCTGGTTGGTGGTTTGGAACATGAATGGATTATTTTCCATTTCATATATGGGATGTCATCCCAACCCCATTGACGAACTCACTCCATCATTTTTCAGAGGGGTTAGGGCTCAACCAAAAAAACCAGCCATAAATGTCGCCATTGGTTTTTTCTGACTTTATTGTTTTTCTCGCTGGTTTTCTCGATGTCATATCTTCACATCGATTTGGTGATCAGGATCTCATTATTTTTCGCTTCTCACAGTCTAACAGCAGTCACTGACCATGTAGAAAAGGCTTCAATCCATGTGTCATCGCTTGGGATTTTTTAGTTTGATGGCTAAACCACCACTGTTCATGACTTAAACCACATTTTTTGCAGGTTTCGATCGTTAAACCACTATTTGTCACCATTTTTACCACCATGTTTCACAATTTTTCCATAGTTAAACCACGATTTACCCGTCATCCAACATCTTGAGACACCAAACAAATCTCCAACGAAACAGCCGATGACAGCAGGGAAGATGCGGGGAGCTCCTCGGCCGACGTCTTCCAGGATGTGCTGAAGAAACTGGTCAAGGCCGGTGGTGGCACTCGCTGATGTTTTTTTTATTTAATTAGTATATGTTAGTATAAAACCATCATATCATGGGATATCATGGGAATACCATGATATACTATGGTATTTATAACTTATAAGCCCTGAAGAAGACAATTTAGTGGGGATATCTATGGGGGATATTTGTCAAGGTTATCCAGGATTTTTTCCACGTATCAAATCAGCTGCGAGTCACCTCTTGGTTTCACCAAGTAAATGTGGTTTTAAATGGTTTTACCCTCTGGTAAACATACAAAAAGCTATTGAAAATGGCCATTTATAGTGGAATTTCCCATTAAAAATGGTGATTTTCCATAGTTATGTTAGTTTACCAGAGGGTCAGATGTTGTGATCACAAAAAAAAAGTGTCACCTGGTGATGATTTATGATAATCATCCCATTGCTAAGCCATTGATTGATCAAGTTACACCGTCCAAAAAGATGCAGTACTCGTAACTTGGAAACTGTACGGGGAACGCATAAAATCAACAAACCATCCTGGAAATGCAGTTTCTTTTTTTTTGCGATGACTAAAAAAATGGTAAATGAAGCCTTTTCTGATTTTTTTTGGGGGTCATCCCCTGCATGACTGGGTTGTAACATTTGGGAATCCTGGCTCCGAATAGCCCTTGTGGCATCGATGGTAAGCTTACGCAATAGATCTCCACACTGGGACTTACCACCCACAGTGTCTGGGGATGATATACCAGCAAACATGGGGATAGAATGAACTTGCAACCACGAATATGTAGTTAAGACGGAGGGATTGTACAGGCAACAAACAGGTGAATAATTATGAATAATTGCTATTGTGGCGTAGCTGTTTGATAATTCGCTAGCAATGCAACCAAGGGGTTTTGACTGTAAGCGGATTTGATTCGGCCCTAAATCTGGATTTTTACAAGCAACAAAATGAGGAATACCACCACCAACACACTCAGATGTCCGCAAGATTCTGTGGCTACTAGGGTCCCCTTGTTTTTTTGAGTCGCTGGAATCGTATGGCCATGGATCCCAACATTGCGCCATGGCCATGGCCGCCATGACAGGAGATTTGCGGAGACTACATGTTGTATGGCTATCTGAGTATCTTGGACCGGGTGGTACGGCAAACCGGTGAATGTCAGGTGACATGTGAACGTTGATGTTTAAGTGAGCCCCTTTTTATGAACGTTTGTGAACGATAGGAATTTGCAAAGCCAACAGTTATTGGAGTTTGTATACGGTAGAAACATCTAGAAACCAACTTGGCGATTTGGCTGACTGGGGCATCACCTTGTCACTTGACGTAGATGATGGATATTGTATTGGGTCATTGATCAATCATGATCAATCAACAATGGCCTCAAATCAGAAATTATCGGATAATCCGAATGTAAAGACGATGAAGTTATCCAGATGATCCAGATTCACCATCATCATCATCATCATCATCATCATCATCATCATCAGTTATTATGGCCCTCTTGGTCTTCACCAAAATCGGCCCTGGGAGCCGCTGGGAGAAAGTAAACTTCACCATGTTGGGAGGAGGGTTTTCAAGCTGGTGCTTTTCAGTTATGTAAGTTGGACTAAGTTGGTACAAATCAGCCCCTTATAGATTCATATTTAAAGCCTAGTTATCACCAATGTTGCGATTCCGAAATGGGGCACCACCGAACGTATGATTTTTTTGCATTATCGTTTTTATGAGCCATGGCAAGCGATGGCTAAGTCGCTGGTGAATTCCAGGTCAATGGGCAAATTTTCATTGGTTCCAGTGCTGTGAATACTTGGATGTGCATCCCACTTAGTAAGTGGTTTATACTGTAATCCATATAATACCATATACAAATAGGGATCCATATATAACCGGTGGTATAAGCCAAGCAAACTAAGTGGGATGCACCCCCAAGTATGATGAGAACATGATGTGAACATCATGAGAATATCATGATGGAATATCATGATGGAGTTACTGGTGATGAATGGTGATTAATGGGAATATAATGGGAATAGAAGCAACAATATGAAGAGAAGAGGGCCCACTACGATTCCATTTTTTTTCAATGGGATTACAATATCATGGGATGACACATCATTGAATTCATGGGATGACACATATCTTTTTTTTGTTGAAAACAGACTGTTTAAGTTGATGAATCCCATGAAAAAGTTCATGAATCACCCCCAGAAATCATTGGGTCATTGGGATTTTGGAGGATCATTGGTGTGGATGAAAACATACATGATTTTTGGTGTTTTTGTTGCTTGAAAACAGATTCTGTTTCAGTTGATGAATCTGAAAAACCATGGGGATTTTCAGGGATCATCATGGAAAAATCGCCACATCTTCAATAAAGAATCATCAAGTGACTTAGTGACTAGTTATATCAGTGATTTCATATATAATAAATACTAATATATATATATATATATTATATGACTTAATTTCATCTTCACTGATATAATCATATATATATATTATATGAAATAACTAGTTAATAAATACTAATGATTATATATAATTATATCATATGATATATATTTTCATGATTGGTTTCATGTCTTCTTAACAAAGAAACCAACCATTAAACTATGACCCACCACAAAACCCTAGGGTTTTTACTAACAAAACGATGTGCTTCCACCCATGGGGGGAAACCCCCCTTCGGAAAATGATCAGGTGGTGCCCCCCAGTGATGTGAACGTTGCTTTATAAGGCCATGAATACTATAGATATATCACCAACAAAAACCAGTTCGTGAAATTGGAGTTATGTGAACCCCAACTGAACGCGTTCTCGTTTACGGGGGCACCACCTTGTAGGATATCTCTTTTTCTTAGCCATTTTTCAAAAAACCATCTCCAACCATTCAGAAAAACCATCTGCTATTTCGCGTATTTTTTGTTTGCCATTCACCAACCATTCAGCCAGGAAATCGGAAGTTTTTGGGACATGAGCTGAAGACCACCTTGCCGCGCTTCTTCCATTCACAGGCACACATCAAGCTGCTTGGAAGTCGGGCCTCCGGTGGATTTCACGAGCCGCCCCGAAATGGTTGTTCTACCCTCTGGTAAACTAACGTAGCTATAGAAAATCACCATTTTTTATGGGTAAATCCACTATTTCTATGGCCATTTTCAATGGCTTTTTGTTAATTTACCAGAGGGTATTGAGAACATCATGAATAAATGCGTGGATTCTCCAGCCTTGTTTGATCTTGTTTCATTACCGGAGGGTAACCTTGATAGCGGCTACTGCTGGGTTAGTAAACCTCGGCTGGGAGGGTGATACTGTAGTTCAATCTTTGGCCATAAAATAGATGGGGGGCATATTCTAGCTGATTAGCTCAAGATGTTTTTTTTGGTAGTGTCTCTAAGGACATGATGAGCATGGGCGATCGTAGTTTGAACCATGACCCACCACCGTTGATGCAGGTTCACAATATTGGAAGCTTATATGAGTTCTAGCAGCTTGAGACTTGAAGTTCCATAATTCATCCAGAAAAAAAACAGGAACTGAGGATAACTTTGGTTTGTTGGGGCGTACATATCGAAGCAGAAAAACGAGGACCGTGAACCCTTCTCCATTCAACCTATACCCTACTCGCAGGTGTCCTAACTTTTGGGGTACCCCCAAATTATCCAAGTTATTGCTTATTATCAACGGGAAAACCCAATCGTTTGGGGTACCCATATTTTAGGACACTTCCACATATAATCATATATATGTGTATACATACGTGTATAGTGAGTTTGTCCAGAAATTGAAGATTTGCCCAGCAGTTTACGTGTTCTTTTTCGGAAACATGACGATAAACGGTTCGGTGGTTTCCCCTGAAAAAAATCTAGACGATAAACCACGGTGGTCTATCAGAAGGTTTCTGGTTTCCCCATTTCCGATTTCCCATGATTTCCCCACTGTATGGTTTCCCCATACAAGGTGGTGCCCCCCAGTTATAAGTTGGTTTATAAGCCCATGAATACTATAGATATATCACCAACAAAAACCATAGTGAAATTGGAGTTATGTTCACCAACTTAGCTATCGAACGGGGGCACCACCTTGTAGGATATTATCGCATTGTTTTCTTACTCAGATCCACATCCTTGCGCGTCCCCAGGGTCCCCAGGATTCCCCAGGGTCGCAACGAAGCGGACCCCCTGGTGGTTAAGATCTATGGTGTTAAGCAACTTCCGATGAACAATGGTTGTTTTCAATAAAGTCTAGGGCTGAAAACCACATAGATAGATTGAAAATGATTGAAAACTTGATTTCGCACTTTTGCTGATGAAATCTTGTAGCGAAGACACATTTATATAGTCACTATATAGTCACTATAAATGGGATGTTTTACGGTACCCTTCCAGCAAATTAACAGTTCAACCCTGAAGATTTTTTGAGTGGAAAAATCATCTTCGGTAAGCCCCAACTCGTGGCAGGGCCTGTGAGAAAAATGGGGGGGCGTGTATGGATTTTTTGAACATACCCTCTGGTAATTTAACAGTTTGCTATGGAAAGATCCACCATGCTATTAATGGGAAAATCCACTATTTCTATGGTCATTTTCAATAGCTATGTTAAATATTTAATTTCGATGATTTGCATGTGAAACCCTAGATTGGTAGTTTAGTGCTTTCATCTCTTGTGGGATATGTGGGGATCTCCTAACCGGCTCAAACTTCATGTTGTTGCAGGGTAGCTAAGATTATGGACATGTTATTTGGTATACATTCATAGACTTATCCCATAATATGGTATAACATGGTATAACACTTATTCTTGCAATGCCCATAATTCCACTAGTAATCCCCTTTAATCTATACTCCCAACTATATGTAACACCTATATCGGGAGGACCACCAGCCGATGATCGCCGAGTTGCAAAACATAGCAAGGTTAACGGGGGCGCCACCTTATACGTCTTTCCCACTATCTCGTCCCATTATTTTCAGCCTCGTTGGTCAGTTGATATTTCTACAAGGTGGTGCTCCCCCAGGTATAAATGGGTTATAATCCCATTAACTATATATATATATCCAACAAGAACCATAGTGAAATTGGACTTATAAACCAACTTAGTTATAATCCCATTAACTATAGATATATCACCAACAAAAACCATAGTTATTGGACTTATAAACTATAAACCAGCTTAGCTAACGAACTGGGGCACCATCCTGTATGAATTGGAGTTCATAATCCCCTTGCTAACTACCAGATATATTTCAATTGGGTTATGAAATCATGGTAGTTAGGTTATATACCCTGAGGTTATTCCTGAGGTTATGAAATCATGGTAGTTGGGTTATATACTGTAATATCTGTAATGTGTTATAGCCTGATAGTTGGTTATGAAATCAAATCAATAACTAATAACTGGGTTATATAGTTGGGTTATGATACCCTCAGGATCCCTCAGGTAGGCTTAGAGGATCATCCCACGAATCGTTAAAATGTGCCCCCGTTGATCCCATCGATCAATGAACAAACTATGTTTCTTAGCAACTTATACTAGGTGGGGTGATCCTCCAAAGTAGTTTCCTACATAAATTCTGATATCCTATACTTAGCTTAATATTAGACCTCTTTTTTTTCTACAAAAGGGGTTATATAGTTGATATCCCATTCCTATAAATGGGTTAATACTCCTGGGTTATGATACCCTCGGGAAATATAACTTGCAGTTGGGTTTATTAATTGGTATAACAATGGATTTTTAAAGCTCCATAAGGTTGGAATATGGGGTCCCTATAACTAATAGTAACTATGGTTCTATTAATATTCCTACAAATGGGTGAAGCCGGTATGATAACTCATCTAGGTCCAAAAGACACCTGTTAGTCAGTAGTATCTAGTAGACTAGACTCTTGGAACTATATAGATAATTATAACCATCCCACTTTTGAGCATCCCATTTTTTGGCAAGTTATTTTGAATATACATATTAACCATCTAGATAATTATAACCAGCTAGATATATAAAGGTCCTTGTAAAGAGTTTTTTCATTGCGAGCACCGTTCATGTTATCCCGGACGAAGGAATTTTGATCAACAACAACGGATGAATATCATAACAAAAGGATAAAATAGTTTAGGATATTTATCCTTTTGATCAACAAAATATGATATTTTGAACATAGTTTAGGTTATGATCATCCTTTTGTTCATCCCGAGGTTTGGCAAGGACCTCTTGGACGTGACCACTTCGCCCAACGACACTTGGCTCCGAGGTTAAAAAAAACAAGGGGGTGATTTTTTGTCCCAAAGAAAGCTGAAGAAAAATGGTGAATTCATTGGTTTTTCATGGTTTTTAAATGTCTTGAATTGGATTTTATGGTGATTTTATGGGATTTTTAGGATGATTTTATGGGGATTATGGGGTTTAATAGGACTTCTAAAGTGATTTATGATGTTCACTGGGGATATAACGGGATTTACCATTCTCCCAACTAAGAGTTCGACTCTGCCATGAGTTGGGGGTTGGAAGACTACTTCCATCAACAAAATTAGCTATTCTCAGGGTCTATGTTTATCCGGTGGATGGCTTTTTTGATGGAGATGTTTAAAACCATAAATTGTTTCGGTTGAACTCGCTTGATGTCTCTGGCTCAATTTCCACTTGTTTTTGGCCATACTTGAATGTACACATACAATCACATACATACCCTTTCTTAGGGGAGTTTATAGAAAGTTACAGAATCCTGCCCCTTTGGAAGCTCTGGCTTAGCGTTACTGGGAATTATTCATTTTGGGGTCCCCCGATCATCGGGGGGCATTTGATTGTGGAGCTTCTTGATCATCGAGTTGAACAGGGAGGTATGGACATTGGACATACACAAATCCTTAAAAGCTAAATCTGCCTGATTTAAGGGAACACAAAGGTTACCCTCTGGTTATTTAACATAGCTATGGACCAATGGAAACCAATCGCCCATTTAATTTAATTAGTTTGATGATAAGAATGATGATGTACCGTTCTTAGCAATGGTGATTTTCCAGTTCGCACACCGTCAAAAATCTCCGGGTGACGTGGCCTATGGATCTCAGACTTCCCACTTGGGGCTGCATCCTAGTTATCCTCGTTCCTTGGTGATAAACTGATAAACATATTATAAGCAAGTAAACTATTTGTTTTTCATATTCATGGCTTATGAGAACCATTTTTTTCATTATCAACCATTTCCAGTATTATTCATGGGTTTTTTAGATCCGTTCAATCCCTTTTTGTTTGTTATTCACCAATGAATCCCATGGGTTACTAGGTGAGGCCGGTGAGGCCCCCAAACGACGATAGCTAAGTTGACGCTTAAATCACTTGGTTTTTTTTCGTTTGAGATTAATTATGGGGAAGTATAACTATAATAACTATAGTAGTCATGGGGTTTATAAACCAACAAACATAGCCTTTGGGGGCCTCACCTAGTGTCATTACAATGTTGCATAAAATTACTGTTGTTCATTGTTGTTATACAATATGTTAATAATATAATAATGTTTATGTTGTTCCTCCTATCATTGTCATTATCATTGTTATTGTACCCACATATATATATATATATATATGTAATATCTAATACTATTACTATTACATATATATTATTTTTAGTACAATATATATATATATATATATACAATTATATATATACACATCATGTCTATATGGATACCATACATCTACCAAAAACACAACTGTTTTCTCAGCGCATTCAGCCGCGCCGCGTCCCAGGAAGCGGCTGCCTTCACTGGTTATCATTCGGATATCGATCGCAGTAGTCTCACCTGGATGATCAATGCTGCCCGTCCAGGAGACGACGAGCCCCGGGATTGTTTAAGGTCCATCCCCCATTGGAGAAATGGTGGTTTCACTACGGAAAATGGTGGGAAATGGTGGTTTAACTATGGAAAATGGTGAAAAATGGCGGTCTAACTATGGAAAATGGTGGTTTCAGTACGAAAAATGGTGAAAAATGGTGGTCTAACTATGAAAAATGGTGGTTTAACTATGGAAAATGGTGAACAATGGTGGTCTAACTATGGAAAATGGTGGTTTAACTATGGAAGATGGTGAACAATGGTGGTCTAACTATGGAAAATGGTGGTTTCACTACGAAAAATGGTGAAAAATGGTGGTCTAACTATGAAAAATGGTGGTTTAACTATGGAAAATGGTGAACAATGGTGGTCTAACTATGGAAAATGGTGGTTTAACTATGGAAGATGGTGAACAATGGTGGTTTAACTATGGAAAATGGTGGTTTAACTATGGAAGATGGTGAACAATGGTGGTTTAACTATGGAAAATGGTGCTAGATCAATCTAAGATGGGTAGAAACTAGTCCTTTAGTCTTTTGGGTATAAATGGGATTATCTACGAACCAACTAAGAATTTAACTTTTTGCAGGGTATCTAAGATTGGCCGTAGAATGGTTGTAATAATGGTCAATATGTCTGTAACAATGGTCAATTCGGATAATGGGTATTTGATATTAATGGTTGTGACAATGGGTCAGTCGAATATTCATGGACAATAATGAGAGAGTAATGGGATATTTTCATGGGAAAACAATTGGGATATGAATGGCATAGTCACGGATAATGGGATAAAAATGGGATAAACATGGGATATTTTCGTGGGTCAACAATGGGATGATCGTGGGATATCAATATGTTTTTTAGCTTGTGGTAACCAGCTTTGTGGCTTCCTGGAAATTCCACCTCCATCTCGTGGGATCTCGTGGGATCTAACGAGGAATCTAACGACATGTTTAACGGGGATTGACCAGATCCTGTTGCGAAAGTTTTGATAGCTATTACTATTATTACATATTATTACTATGGTAAATAAAACATAGACCCTGAACATGACCAATTTTTAATGGAAACTAATCTTCCAACCCCTATCTGCCAGGGTCTATGTTAGTTTACCAGAGGGTATTACTATTATTGTTATATGTCGATTTAATGAACCAACACCAATGGAAACAATTGATATAGCATCAAGTCCTGTGAATTTTTGATATGATTTAATCATCGGGACAACTGATTTCCATTGTGGTTTAACTGCCATAAAACAACTTGGAGATACTTGGAGAGAACCACCATTGACCATTGACAGTTTTTTTTGTTTTTTTTACACCATCCAAAACATGGGGCGGTACCAGGTAGTCTGAGGGAAAATGATGGTATTTCACCATGGGAAACTACAAGGTGGTGCCCCATAGTTAGCTAAGTTGGTTTATAACTCCAATAACTATGGTTTATGGTAGATATATCTATAGTTAATTGGGTTTATAGAGCAACTTATAACTGGGGGGGCACCACCTTGTAGGACTAGCTTAAGCATCAGAAATGAAGTTTAATTATGAAACGCCTGGTTTTTGATCATCAACAATGATCATCAACAATGATCAAACAGAGGCATTTGACTCATATTTTCCAATGCAACATAGGAAATTTGAGCAACACATACTGAAGACATGCAGATATCAATGGATCGACAAGTCTGGGTATCCCTGACAGCTGGAAAGCACGGAATCCTACACTTTCTCGGCATTTTTTTGTTTGACCTCACAGCGATAGCGGATTTCAGTATCAAACCGGGTTGTTTCATTTTATCCATAGAATTTTTTTTGGGACCCCCGGCCTGATGGGACCCCCATTCCCTTAAAATCTTCCCTTAAACTATTGGTGTTTCAATGACTGATCCCTATAAACTCCACTTGAGATGATTTTGTTTCCAGCCTGAGAATTGTTTCCATCCATGGATTGGAATTCGTCAACTATAGAACGTCCACTGAACGGCTATTTCACTATTTGGCAGATTTGCGGCTTTGTTTAGGGTCTTCCTGTGGAACCCCATTTGTTGGTTTCAAATTGGACTATCCATTTCAAATTTAACCCCGACTGGGGAAATTTGAAATACACCCCCATTTCGAATGATTGCACGAAAACACAATGTGCCAGTAGTTTCCTGTAATGTATTACCGGGATCTAACAGGGGATACAATGTATGGAAACCTGGTACAATAGATGGAAACTAAACTGGCAGGAAATGAACAGATTCTGCTAGAATTTCCCTAATTGGAAGACTATACTAATGTGCATAACCTGGTCTTTTTTTTACCATTTTGCCAAAATAAACATTGGGAAAATTCAACATGCCACATATTCAGCTTATGAACTCTCAAATTGTCCAATGGCATATCCTGGAATAGTTTGCCCTTTAGGAAACTAGCAGAACTGTAGAAAAACACGGATTCTAATGGGTATAAATTGGCCATGGCTTCCAGAATGCTATGTTGATTTGATGGTACCTGAAACATCTTGGTACTTTTTTTACCTGAAGTACAATCCGGCAGTTCAACACATGGACACACACTATACATCTATATTTCTGTTCATTGCCATGTTTGATTACCAGATGGTTCTATTTTCTTTGTTCTGTTTAAACAGTTATTGACAATGGTATTAATTTGTATTAATATCAAACTCATCACTATGCTTGAGGGGTACGGTATTTTTTTTGCTCACCATTTTTTTAGGTTAGGGGACACATTCTACTTGAATCCCATTATAATCCATTATTGATATAATTCCATTATAATGGTAAATTATCCATTACTTAATACACCTCTGCGAGGTGCCCAAGAATAATCCCATTCAACCCTCCAAAAAAGATCAAAAAAACCTCTGGTTATTTAACAAACATAGCTATCACCCCCCCAAAAAAAAAATCCTCTGGTTATGACAAACATAGCTATTATATGCTATTGTTACTAGCCACATGACATACCAAAGAAATAAACCACCACCATAAACATGGCTACAAGGTGGTGCCCCATATTTAGCTAAGTTGGGGTTCACATAACTCCAATTTCACTATGGTTTTTGTTGGTGATATATCTATAGTATTCATGGGGTTTATAAACCAACTTATCCCCAGTTCGTTAGCTAAGTTGGTTTATAACTCCAATAACTATGGTTTATGGTAGATATATCTATAGTTACTATGGTTTATATAAACTAACTTAGAACTGGGGGCACCACCTTGTATCAAAGCCCCCCAAAAAATACCCTGCACCAGCCATATGGAGAATTGGGCTCCCCTCGAGGCTGAGAAGGCGAACCCAGCTATGGCTGAGAGCTTCTGGTTGTATCCGGTGGCTTGGTCCGAACGGCACCGCGATTTTTGGTGATTTTTCACGATGGGATACTGGGAGAATGGTGATTATCATGGAAAATACCCTCCGGTTATGTCAAAATAGCTATTGAAAATGGCAATTTTTTAATGGGAAAGTCAACCGTAAATGATCATTTTCCATAGTTATGTTAGTTTACTGGAGGGTAATCATAGAAAATCCCCCACATTTGGAGGTTTCCGATGGTTTCCGTTTTGTCATCAAGGTACCCCCAGTCATCATCCAAGTCATGAATGAACAATTTCATATTGAAACCGGCTTGGTGACGACTGGGGATCCACCATTTTGAGAACCCCCCACATGAAACATCTCGGGGAAAGCCAAAAAACCTGATGAACAGCTGGTGATTCAACAATGAACAATAGTGATTTAATCATAGACAAATGTGATGTGCAACAATTGATGGAGGCATCGAACATGGCCTTAACATACCCTGAACATCCTCAAACCAAGTTTGGGATGAAGTGTGAAATTATCCATGTATCAGTTTGGCTGTTTTTTTTGCCCTTAGGGATTGAGTCAACAAGAGGGTGATACAACGAAGATGATGGGGAATATTCAGGTGATATCCGTTGGATGACGTTGGTGGTTTCACATAGGGGGGTGGTTTCATGACAACCCTGAATGATTGACATTACTGGGTCAGCCTTTGTTAAATACTTTAGTACTTCAATCTTTTGCTATCAATGGTAAAATGTACTCAACAGCTAAAACATAGATTTTTGGGCAGGTATCGAAGATTCACCATGATTATTGCAGGTGATTCTCCCCAGAGTGATGAGTAGATGACATGAGATGATATGATTTTTAAATTCACATGATACCAACACGCTGAGTTGTTTCATTTTTTCTTTTATCATAGATTCAATCCGTCATTTTACGCCGGTGATTTCATCATCTTTCGTCCAATCTGTGGAGAAAAGCAATCCCAAATCCTAGGATTGGAAGATCACGAATTCTGAACGGTTTCTGAACAAACGACTAGGGATTGAATACAGATAACCCTTTTCGTAACCCCAAAAAAGAATAAAAAAGATAGAACTACTGAACTACTCAAATCCTACTAAAATGGTCATGAATTACTTTTCTATATGTTTGGAAGTACAGTTAAAAACTGTGGGATGTTTCAGTAAAACCAGGGTCACCTGAAACATCCTGAAACGAACAGAAGCCTTCAATGTGTGTGACGAAACGAACATGGATGAAGTGTTGGCAGTATTTGGGGTTGTCTGAAAAAAGGGTACGGTATACATGTATACTATACCCTCTGGTAAAGAAACGTCGCTGTTGAAAATCACCATCTTTAGTGGGTAAATCCACTATAAATGACAATTTTCAATAGCTAGGTGAAATGACCAGAGCGTATATACCCGAAGATTTGACGGTGTATCACCATTTTCATCCCATACTTTCTCATTTACCATCTGTCAATTCAACATAGCTATTGAACATCACTATTTTAGTAGGTAAATCATCGAACTAAATGGGCCAGGGCTTCCATAGCTATGTGAAATTGCCAGAGGGTATATCCCCATTATCCATTCTTCATCCATTGTTGGTGGTTTACCCATGATGGACCATTATTTCAATGGGAATTCCAGGATCCTAAAATGGAGGTACGTTAGTACCATATGTTTGGCCATATTTTCTGGGGATATTCCCTTACATAGGCCTTCTTTTTCGGCCTTAAAAAAATGGTAGGTACCTCCAATCAATCGGTTCAACCGTTGCATGGCCATTGATTATTCACTATGAAAAATGAGAAAAAGTTGGAAAATTCTAATTTTTTTTCTCTGTGAAAAATGATAAAAAGTTGGAAAATGCCACTTTTTTCACATATTTCAACATTTTTCACATGAAAAGCTATCGGAATGGCGCAAAGCAAAAAAAGCCGACAATTTTCACTGGGATCTCCCGGCCCGGGGAAGGAGTGAAACCGATATAGATAGATCAACTGGTTTATTTGGGGCTAGTTCATTTCTTTCATGTAAATTAAGAATAAACCATCCCCCAGGAAAATCACCATTTTTATAGGTGGTTTTTGAACCATTCCCAAATGGGTTGTTTATGACATAGTTTTAACCAGATTAGTTTCTTTTCGTTTCCCAAGTTGCCACAGTAAGAAAAGGAGTGGGAAACGAAAAGAAACTAAGGAGTTGGCAAGTACATATCGTTTTAGTTTCTTTTCGTTTCCCAGGATATAAGATTTTCCCATAAGTAGATATGGGTATGGGTCAATACCTATTAATACCATTTTTGATGGGATGAACATCCATTTACCAGCTATTTTGGGGTTCACTAGGTACCAGGGTTTTGACCCATCCCCATATCTTTTTTGGTCAAGTTCTGGTAGCCTCCGGAAATCAAACGTGGCTGGAACATGCCCGGACTAAATGGATGATTCTAACATTCAAAGCAGTTACCCTCTGGTTATGACATTGCCAGTTTGCCATGGAAAGATCCAGCATGCTATTATATAATAGGTAAACCCAGGTAAACCATCGAACTTTCTAATTATGGGCCATGGCTATTTCCCATGGCTAGCCCTAGCAACGTCATAACCAGAGGCTATTTTTGGTTATCAAAAAGATGGGCTATGCCTATCGACTGAGGTCAACCAACGTATCACCCCGGAGCCTCGGCAGCTCTCGGTGAGGTGAGCGTACGTTCTCTCAAAGACCACCGATTTTTTTGATGATGATTCTTAATGATTATTATTACTCCCATTAATGCTTAATTCACAACAAATGATTAATTCACCATCAAACCATTTTTGATGGTGAACAACACAATGATTCATTAATGATGATTCTTAATGATTGTTAAGTGATGAATTCTTAATGATGATTATTAATGATTGTTAAATGATGAATTTTGATGGTCAATGAGTGTCACATGATGATTATTATATATATATATATATTGATGATGATTGATCGTTAATGATGAAAATGATGATTATTCCCCATGGTTAATGATTGTTGATGATTATTTGAGTTGTCAATGGGGACTAGTGGAGCTTTTTTACATGGAACATCCACACCATTTGGGTCTGTAAAAGGGGGGGAAACCTATAAATAGATATACCCTCTGGTTATTTAACATAGCCATGGAAAATCACCATTTTTAATAGGTAAACCATCTATAAATGGGCCATTTTCCATGGCTATGTTAAATAAGCAGAGGGTAAATATAGTCATTTCTAGAGTCTGAAGGGAAACTTCATCATAAACCACTGGATTCTGGGGTACCATATTTTCAGACGGTCACCCTTCATTTACAACTCAAAAACTTCCATGGCTACGTTGTCGCTGATGGCTGACTGCGTGCTTGTTGGCTCAATGGCTTACCCATTGGTTTGCTCAAACATGGCTGGCTGGAAAAAACAACACTACACATGGAGGTTTGGTATAAATGGTTTGAATGTGAAAAGCAAGTGTAAATGATGGATTTTCCCATGAAAAACCTCCATTTGAGTAGTGTTTTTCCAGTGCCACGTTTGAAAAAACCGGCTTTTTGTTTTTTTGTTACCAATCAGA